TACTATCTCTCTATATAAAAACAGAAGTTGTGTGTATGTCTGTGTGACCGCCTGAAATTGGGGTTTCGTGAAAATTCACTTTAAGGGTGCTGATTGTGCTTAGAATAGATGTGACATTGGCCAGCATTCGCAGAGCACACACAACATCACCTAAGCTCCGCCCACAATGGGCGGGGCTTTCGCCGAAGTGGACAAAGCCGAGGATAAAATCCTCAAAACGCATCCGGAGCAGCCCAGGAAACGGTGAACTATGAGTGAAACTGTGCAAAGGGTAGGTAGATGAATTGAGAAATAGACACCCGTAAGCAGTATGTTGTGTACCAAACGGTTAGGGCCCCCTGCCATAGTTGATTCTGCAAATCCTTAACACTGAGAAGCATACCTTATAAAAAATTTTAACGACTGTCTTCTAGGGGGGGGTATATACGGGCGATCCGAATGGTTACCACAAAGGCCCAAGTTATCATTCAGATGCTGTTATACGTCTTCGTGGGTGCTGCCACGTTTGAGGACATGTATGGCCTCTTAAATAGCCTGTAAGCCTGGCCACCAACACTATGCATAGTTATTTGCCCGCTGATTTATTCCCTTGTTGCAGCTCTTGTTTTTTTCTCATAAATCAAGCACTAATTGAAAAGTGCCTCAATAATGTGAACAGCGAAAAGGGTCTTACTCTTCACCCAGAACAATGGAGCTGCATCAACAGCTGGGATAGTCGGTAAAAGAAAAAAAATGGGCGGAAATTCTATCTCTTGATCTTTTCTTGCGAAGGCAGGTCCAAGGAAGGAGCACAACAAGATCAAAGGCTCACCAGCCCATTTTTCTTTCTTGCTGGATCTGCCTCAGCAAGCTGAGGTCAAGGGACAAGATTCCCGCCCACTCTGTCTTCCAAAGGCAAAAGACCCGATAACTTGTACGATAAATACGCTTAGTACGACAGAATTCGACGCCACTGAGCAGAAGCGGCTTTTCCAAAGAGCGAACGCTTATGGCGCCCTATCAAGCTGCAACATGCCGACAAAGACGCCCACCACACCCGCCCGACCACTATTACCCGCATAGTCTCATCTACATTAACATCTTATCAACTCATTTATGAAGTACAAATTGTTATGAAAGCCACTGTTACACACAAACGAATACTCTACCTAGTTCGCTGCGGGATTGAAGGGGCGTGTGAACAGTATGGGTTGCCACTGAGCCAAACCCGTTCTCTGCCATTTGGAGCGGGAATGTGACAGCAATTGGTAGAAAACGAATGATACGAACGATGTGATACAGTCTTATCTCTTGTCTTGCTTCAAACAACGACCGTGGGAGGACGTTTTGGCCATCGACGCCAAGCTCATTCCGCCTGACACGCCCCTTCGTCCGCAGCGAACTGGACTATAGTACGTGCAGCCGTATTTGTCGAAGCGGTTGTTGGCACGATGTCAACGGGAAACTCGTCCAAAAATGGTCCGTCCAATGCCGTGCAGCGTTGTATTTAAAGCTTTTCGTCACTCTCCCTCCTCTTTTGTTTCCATTTTATGGCACCACATGATACTACGTTAGAGCAAGTCCCATTTTAGCATTCCTTATGCCTCAAATCAAGTATCTCGTCCGCTGATGCCAGCCCACTGTTTTGAGTGAGGCATAGTGAAAGGCCCGTCTGCTGAAAAACATACCTACGATATTGAAGAATACCGGCCAGATCAGCGGATCGAAATGGGCAGAGCCAGCAACTTGAACAAAGAGACCACCAACACACGACACCAATAACGTGAAGGCGATTTGCACACCAACAAGCGGTTTTGACTGAAAAATGAATCGATAGGCATCAATACCATTAGTTTTCACAGAAAGATTCAGTATTACTGCTAAAGCTTTGATTATCAGAAATCCGACATGTGTCGCAAAGTTCTTCATAGACAGTTGACTTCAAAGCCACCTTCTCGCCAAGTCACTTAGATCACGACAGCCTACGTTTCATGCAGTTCATTATGGGTAGGAGGATCTTATTTTAAAAAGCTCGATATCCGATAATCACATTCCTCAGCTTCAATTCTTGGGATCGCTGATAGACCATTTCCATTATTTTGGAGGTTGACCCCAAAAACGTGAGATGAAAGAAAGTAAATTATGGTTGAATGGTTTGGATTCAGGCCGCTAGAATTTAACTGCTTTGACGCCAAAGAGCTGTATAGCTTACAATGTCGCAGTAGTCGGGGCGGTGCCAGAAGGCGTGGAATGAGCCCGTCTCAGCCTGCCTCGCTCTACCAATGGAGCAAAAGACCAGTGGGGGAAACGCTTCATGTGGGCTCATTCTATCTTTCTTTTAGAACTGCCACGACTGATTGCGACGATATCAGCTGTATCAAGTGCACTGACAAGGAGTTACCAGGCTAGAGACTAGGGTCTCCTAAACAACGCTCAGAAAATAATTTCTTCAAAATTACCATTTGGCTATGGCTTTTTAATCTCGACAGACACATTACTTCGGATCTTGACACATTAACCTAAGGCCGACCTCATTTAAGCTGAACAAATTCCGATCATACACAGATCTGTAAGTAGGTGGGAGAGATAAAGATATAGAATGACTCAGTAAGGGACATACAAAAGAGTTCGAGAGTGATCTTGGAACTCTGTGGCTTATATACGTCGGAAAGGACAAAAGGTCGATCGCGTTCCGATTTCGCATTGTCCCGAATTCGGCGCTTATTGAAACCTTTTGACACATGGTTCTGCCTCAATTTCATGCGGACGACTATTGCCACAGCGAATAGCATCGTCTGTACCTCAGCCCACGCTGCAGCCCAGTGGATCGCCACAAAAAACTTCTAACTTCAATAGTATTG